GTCATCGAACAGGCACCTGGCAGAAGGCAGAACCGTCACCTGCACCGCCATCCCAGCTCTGCTGGTGGGGAGAGGAGCTGCCCTTTTTTGTGGTGAGACACCGGCTGCGTGAAACAGGATCGTCAAGATCCTGTCGCTTCTCACGCTTAAAATCTCTGCCCAAAGTCCAGGAGGCACCACCGTGACTGCTTCCTTCAGCCGGTGAGCATGGGCTGCTGGGAGACGTAGTTCAGAGCACGCCTCCCTCCAGATACTCCGGCTCAGAGGTGGTACAGTAACACCAGCCACTTGCACAGACGCACGCCATCGTTTGTTCCTAGCGTGCTGTCTTACGTTTGATTATTGAGAGAGACATACTAAATTAAACACCCCAAAGTGACAAAAAGAGATAATCAAAATGCCTTTCCCCCAGCCCAGCTGTGGGAAAGTCTGGATTTGACTGCAAAACTGGCTTGGGCACCTTTGCCAAGGCACAGTGAACACAAACAAGCTGGAAAGCCTGAAGTGACGTGACATCTTAATCTAGCCATGAAACAAATCCTGCCCTTAATCCTTCCTCAATTTTTGGACAAACACCACAAGGTAAAATGATGCTTTATGCTTTAACTCTGTTTCTTTAAAAAACAAAAGAAACAGACAAAGTAAAAGAATTATTATCTTTTTTCTTCACAATAATCAATCTTGTCTAAAGGGTATCTGCATTTTACTAATTAATAAATGGAAAATAAATTTTCTCCCATATTGCTACTGTTTCTAAGGAACTGTCTGAAGATCTGACAATAAATACCAACTTTGGGTTTCCATAAACAATACTACATTTTTGCAATGTCTGTGTATTTAATAGCCTTCTACTCCTACCCTGCAGGTCTCATACACATGAGTAGTCTCATTCTGTTCTGTGGAAACACAAATGCGAATTAAGATTGTAGAAATAGGCTCCTGGTCCACACAACTCACCTGACCATGCATTACACAGCAATTACTGGCAAAGGAATGACACAGTCAATGAGCCTACAGGCTGCAGAATCACATGTCATGCCACAAGACCACAGGTGATGTGCAGATTGACTGTAGATCTGTCAAAGCAACTCTAAAATCACCACTCAGGATGTAAGAGAATACAGCTACATTTAAATACAACAGCGAAAAGAAATAAAAACCAGCAATAAAAACATGTAGCTTAACGTGGAAAATAGCCAACATTGAGTTTTGCATGTCTTCCTCGATGTCCTTCACCCACCACATCATTTGAAAAGAAAGTAATAAATCAGTACAGAAATAAGCTTTTAAACTGACCTTTTATTGCGGAAGTTGCAATTTCTCACCATCAAAATACCACAGCCACTGAACTTAGTGAATTACAACTGGATAGGACTTTTGCCTTAAGCGGAACGCATTAAGGACTGAGGCAGCCTGATGCACAGGTGGGTGGCAGAGCAGATTCTTCCTTGTCTGCTTGTGTTTTTATGAAAACAATCTGTAGATACAAACAAACAGTCACAGCTTCAAAACCTCCAAAACCTGGATTGCCTCACTTCAAATTTTATTATGCTCACCATCACTGAAGCAACATGCAAAGACTTAAAAATGTTATTATCAAACCTTCTACTTACAAGCCAAAAAACCTGGCCCGTTGATCTGGACTCTGAAATCAGGCAAAATAGCCATGATCTGTTTGACAGACATTGTTGAGGATAATTTAATGTACAGTTCTTTTCACTTGAATAATGTGTGTACTCCAGTCATAGATGCTGATGATTATATCACATCAGAGAGAAAGATCGCAAGCTCGAGTCCCCCACCTCTGCTATAACGCTTTCACGGCTTTTGTGAGACAATCTAGTAGTTGATAATAGCTGTACTTCAGGTCATATTCCATGTCATACCAGTAATTCACTGTGGAGACAAGAAAAAGGAAAAACATTTCTAAGGCTAGAATGTAATGATTTACAAATGTGTTCATAGACTGTTTTACACAGCTCAATTTTTCCTTATTACTGACTGAACTTTGAAATGAGCAAATCTTTGGCTACAGCCAAAAATAACGTAAGTAAACGTCAGAGTTCTTTAATAGTGCTGCCAATGCAACTCTGTCTTAACCCAAACCAACTCCTCTTCAGACTCTATACTGGGGATTCCTTGGAGCAGAAGCTAGCAAAATGTTTAGGAACAGAAAATATGTGCTTCTATTTAGAAAAAAATACCAAATACACTGCAAAGTTTACTATCTCAATAGGAACCTCTCTTCCTCTGAGTGTGTAAAGCACAGCAGATTCACCACTACTTCACAATGGTCATCAATCAGTGCTTTAATTCAGCTTCTCATTTTAATTTTGGTGTACAGCTGCTAGAAAAAATAAGCCAAGCAGTAAAATACTCTACCAATGGTTCTTGAAGGAGGATATACTCTAGCTTCAGACGTCCACTGGACCAGACCCAGAGAATATTGATTTTTCAAGTGCATACAGACAGTGCAGTTAACAGGCCTTTACAGTGCAGTAAAGGCCAAATAAACTCAGCAATTCTTTAGCATTTCTGCTACACAGAGAAAAAGAGTGGTCAGGGTTGCAAATGGAAACAACTCTGCTTCTTCTAAAAAATTTTTAAGGACTGATGCAGCACTACTGGGAAAAGAGAATTGGTATACTTCTTCACTGCTAGCTTGTCTTTTTATCACAGTATCGTGAATACTGGGGAAAAAAAAAGGCTTGCAATATTTGCAGTGTTGCACAAATACTAGTATCATGTTGTACAGAATACTTTATTTACTCTGCCTGGACAGACAGGATTATTCCAGGTAAAGGACAGAAAAAAAACTCTTCCTCAAACCCTGCAAAACTTACACAACGTAACAATAATACTTTGCACCATCCCTACCCCTCCACCTGCACGAAATGAGCAATGCTTGAAATTCTGGAACTCTCTTGGGGAAGGAAAAAAAGAGATAGAGATGATAAATCATACAAAGAGAGATATGACATGACTTTTGACAAGTGCAGGGGAACACGAACACAAGCACGGGCTTATTATCAAGGTAAAAGCCTGGACTGGAGCAGATTCCAGCTCACATGACAACAGAGTATCTTCCACGTTGTGTCTAGATCCATGCCTAAAACTCATACACTTTCTGTTTTCCATTTCTTCCCCCAGATCCTTTTTTGCTGACGTGATAATGGCATACACAACATGCAGTTTCTTTGTGAAAGGTATGTAGATGACCAATTTGCAGTTAGCAGGCTAGGCAGAAAAACTGCTTAGCTCCATGTCATAAACAGAAACTGGATCATGATCACTGAATTAGCTATTCTTCTCCAGAACTGACAACTAGAAAGACTTTTTCTTCTGCTATATCCCTAGCACTTGTCAACAATACTATGACTTACAAGCAAAAGAGACTGCAAGGAGATAGCCCCATGGCATCTTTCAAGATTGCCATGTCACCCTGAGGGGAGGTAGATGATCTCAAAGGGACATTTGGTCCCATTTTTGCTTTGCTGTGGGATATCTAGCTGCACATCCACCACAGTTCAAAAACGTATCTGGAAATACTGTGTATTTTACCTGCTATGCAGCCATGTGATTGCTGAACATGATGGAACCAGAGAGAAGGCAGGTATAACATCTCACCAGCTTTCACTGTACACTGCAAAGGTTTTGCTTGAGCATACTCTGGATACTGTTCCAGATTTGGATTCAATGGGTCCAGGGGGATCCAGGGCACCTAGAAGCAGAAGAGGTACTGATCTCAGTAAAAAATTCCAGCAAGCTTCCAGAAAAACAACCCACAACCAAACTTACTAGGTTACAAAATATGTATTTTGCCTAGCAAAACACGTACAGCTACACAGCTTTCCTCAGTCAACTCAGAAAAGGTCAAGGATGCAAAAATTTGCCTCCTTCAGTGAAGCATTTCTTATTACGGAAAAGGTGGTAAATGTCAGCCATGAAATTTCAGTCTCGTGGCATGCTTCCAAAACACCTCCAGCCCCTCAAGTCACTTGTTCCTCCTACATTCAGTGCTTGAGCATTTTATCTGCACCATTCTTCTTAGAAATTCCCTTCTTCTTCTAAAGCTCTCTGATCTAATTTTATTCCCAGCAGCTAACCCCTCCCCGCTTCCTGCTGGAAATCCCTCTTGTCTGCATTCATTTCTTCTGTGCCCTACCGAGTTATAAACCTCAGCACCCCACCTTACTGCGTTACAGGAATGCTCTCATGAGATTCCATGAGCACCACTCCGGAAACAGAGAAAAAGCCCCAGCTCAAGTTCAGCTGTAGCATTAGTCACACATTGCAGAGGCAAAAGGAACAGGATGATTAGATACAAAAGACTACTGAGTTTTTGTGAAGTGCCTCCAGATCTATAGATTTTAATCGAATCAATATTGCTACTACTAAGAAAACACAATTTATTCATTGAGCTGATATATTTTATTGCACTGGGTGATACTGCTGTAGAGCAAAATCCAGCCCTGAGTTGAGGGCCAAAAGAAAGTGAATGCAGAGGAGTCTATTTCAGTTTTAATGACATAAACTCCTTTACTCTTGATTCATTTAAAAGTCTTTTACTGGATCTATTTAAGTTTGGTGAAAATCCTCTACTGGATCTAAGTTTGGTGCAAGGAAGACAGTTTATGATATCAATGGTTTCAGGTGTGCAGTAAAAAAAATCTTTTCTGGAACCTGTGTACCCTTTACAATTAATAAAATACAAGTGAACTATCAGGCCATTCCAGTAATGAAGGATTTCTAAGTACCAATCAATATGCTCAGTCTGAGAGCTTAGCAGTGCCCAACACTCTCTTTACTGTATTGTGTTCTTTATATACTTTTTACCTTATCTGTGCTCTTCTTGTCCACAATTTCAAATGAGCCATCTTCTGATACCTGGTAGGTTGCTGGCTGATAGAGCTCTGGAACCACAGAAGGAAGTAAATGGCACAAATCTGAGTAGTACCCAAAGAAACTAGTGGACAGGCATGTCACACTTTCATCAAGTAAAAGAAAAATTAAGACAAAATCATTTTCAACTTACTGTCCTCACTGTCCTTCCCTTTGTACATTTCAGTTTTTATCCAGTTTCTTAATTATTTTTTTTTAGTCAGTCTGAATACGGAACTGCCTTCCTGTTTGGAATTCCAACCTTCTTTCTTCACAGGGATGATTCTCCTCAAAACCCATTTTACTCCTGGTCCTATTTTGTTCCAGTAACTGTCTTGTTTCCCTTTCAGAAGTCATAAATGCATCCCTGACTGACTTACACATTGTTCTATATTCTGCCCTTTGTTGTTAGGTCAGTCTAGCAAGATAGCACTCACAACAGTTATTAGTGACTTGTGGCAAGCCTTTCATTTCTAGTTTTATCCAACAGGGCTCATTAACTGCTTCAGATACTGCAGGTTGCTTTTCTTTCATTGCTTCAGCACATGTGGTTTTCTAAGACCTCCCTTGAGAGTCTCCCTCCATTAACTTGATGTTCCAAAAAATGGAGTTGTCTTTTTACTACAACTATAACATGCAAGCATTATGTCTGTTCCATACTTTAACAGTAACTTGTTTTGCAAAGTATGACTCATATGACATACATGTATAAAGTATGACTCATATGACATACATGTATTTCATACATTCACATACATATGATACCACCTCTCCTATGAAGAAAGGCTGACAGATGTGGCTGTTCAGCCTGGAGAAGAGACGGCTCTGAGGAAACCTTATTGCAGCCTTTCAATATATAGAATATATTTTTATATATAAAAAAATATATAAACGGGGCTTATAAGAAAGACAGAGGAAACTTTTTACCAAGGCCTGTAGTGACAGAACAAGGGGCAACAGTTTCAAACTGAGAGAGGGTAGATTTAGACTGGATATAAGGAATAAATTTTTTACAGTGAGGGTCATGAAACACTGGAACAGGCTGCCCAGAGAAGTTGTGGATGTCCCATCATTGGAAGTGTTCAAGGTCAGACTGGATGAGGCTTTGAGCAACCTGACTGGTGAAGAGCAGTGGGGATTCAGTTAGTACCTTGAATATTTTGTTAAATTACAGCTTATTTTTCAGCTTCCTGGCTTTTTTTCCTGAAGAAAAGAATAAGCAGGCAGAATCCAAACCTGTTAAACATCAAAGATGGCATGCCACAATACTGACAAGATACTTAAATAATTTAAATAGAAGAGAAGAGACTGCCATGAGTATCAATGAACCTATTACTTTACAAGACTGGAAAACCTGAACTCAGAGTAATGTTTGTATTACAAACTACCTGCAACACAAAATAGAAGAGATTCCCATTCACGCTGGAAAGTATAACACTGCATAAACATCAAAATGTTATCTCTGCTTCCTTTTTCATATCTTTCAATATTTTAGCCTCTTCTCCTTCCAACCTCCAGATACACTGCATAATAAATTATGTACCATACGGGATGAAGGGACGGTCACTTGGCGGATGCAGTAGAAAATGTTTCTCTCCAGATATCACACAGTACAAGTTCTCATAATGATCTTTATGTACTAGGATTGAGAAAAAACAGAGATGGGGAGAAAGAGTGAAAACCAGTGTTATTTCCTTCTCTACATCAGAAACTATAGTAAACTGAAAGTGTCAGCTTGTCCTCTTATTATCAGGCTGCTGCTTCCTCTTGCAGACAGTGGGAGTGGAAAGTCACAATATAATGTTGTAGCAAATGTAATCAATGAGGCAAATTGTCAGTGCCTTGCCTGACATAACACCAGGTAGATGCACCCAGAGACACAGCAGCAAGAGGCTGCAGAAGTGCAGGATAAAGAACACAAAAAAGCATGTTAAAGCAGAACTGCCTTGACAGAGAAAACACACAGTCCTACTGATCCACCAACTCAAAACAAGCCCACTTAAACCTGTGCTGAAAGCACGCAGAAGACTTACAGCACCATACAATACATACAAGATGTCACAGCAGCTGATTCCCCAAGCCAGAAATTTACAGCATCGGGCTTCTTCCCTGTATAGTTAGGAAACAGAGAAATGTTGTGAACAAAAAAAGAATTTGAAGTGTCATGTTTAAAAGAATTTCAAATAATTTTCTGCCAATTTCTGTCCTTCAACTTCCTTTGTAACTATGACAGGCTTCATTGCAAATAGCACTCTGTGAGCAACAGCAACCTCCACTGTAGTGCCCATCGGACTTCAAGACATAGTAACATCCATCCCCAAATCGATGGTTACAACCCTTCATTTCCAAATTCTGAACCCCTAAGACTTAGCTCACACAGAAACTGCAGCACTGTCTACGTACAGTTGCAAAAAGGTGAGATCACAGTAAATAATTTTCATTGACATTTTAAAAAAAGATATGCTGTGAAATAGAAAACTGAAACGGAACAGTGTTTAACTAGAAACAAACATCTGTAATTTTACCAAAGGGGGTGGGAGCTGCATGTTGTTTCACTCCTTTGTTATGCCAGCTTTGGTAGCAACAGCATGAATCCAAGTCGAAACGTGACTCTCAATCAGAGAAAAGCTGCTATATGAAAAGAAGGGCTATATGGCACTATCACCACGCTGTTGCAGTTGTGATGGTGCCAATACACAACTGAGATACTGATTCTGGAGTAACCCAAACCCAAAACTTGGATTACTATATTATTATGTATTTTACCACTTCTGCTTTCTAAGGGGATGAAACCAAACTGAGCTGTGGCATCCAGAAACAGAACCACCATTCACCATGTACCTAGCATGATTGTTTTAAAGCTCCATACAAAATATTTACTGAATATAGGAGAAACAGAAGGTTTACCAAGTGCCTCACTCATCCATGGTATGTCAGGCTGCACATCACAGACAAGTTCAGAAAACTCCTCGGTGAGGTTTGAACACTGCTTCTGCACATAGAATACGTTGGGAGAAGTCACTTTCTTCTCCAAAATGTCCAAAAAGTCCATGAAAGGCATTTGGCGCTCCTCTGGCATGACAAAACGGTCCTGAAACACCGCATCTGCATAACCATTTGGTGTTACTGCCACACTCACTACCTTGCGACCTACTACCTCCCTGCAAAAGAAATCCAAGGTTTATAGCCAGACCTGCAATTGGCCCATATATTGGACACCGGTTACTTTAAAAACAACACGTTTCATGGGCAGGAAACATAAAAAGCCTGGCTTTCTGTGGATGGCTGTCTCTTGACTAGATTTTCAACTGTCTGGTAGTTCTACTACTACTATTCTGGCATTCTTCTCCAATTGCTGCCTGCGGTCAAGGCAACCATAGTATCTTTTGCCTCTCTAAATTCTCTTGTGTCTTAACAGGTGAGTTCACAGAGGAACTCCCTTTCCCCCTGTGCAGGTAGAAGGCCCTCTTCAGCCACTTCTTTTCATGAATCATGGTGGAGCTTGATATTCTTGGGACTACTCATCCTGGCCAAACCTGGGTGGCCGTATGTTCAAAAGCAATCGAGGAGGAAGAATGTGCGGACAGAGACCAACAGACACACACATCGTGAGGCTAACAGCCCTTATTTCCATGAGAAATTTAATTTTAAACCCATAAATTTTAGGTGTAACCAGAAATTCCATCTCTAAAAAGAGCTTTAAAAAAAAAAAAATCAGACATTGGTAAAATGCTCGTCATTTTGTAGCCCCACTCCCACTGAGGGGCTGCAGGGTAGAGCACTGGCCAGAGCACAGCAATGGGAGTTGGGTTTCTATAGCCTGAGTCTGTTGGTTGCACACAGTCGAAACACCTCCCCTTCTTACTGCATCGGAACTGGTCAGGACAGTATGTTTACAAGAAGAAATTTACACCTGGGTTTGGCAAGACCAAATACAGAAGCACAGAGGAATCTGAGCTAATCTTAAGGATAAAACCAAAGATTAACCAACGGCCTTTTACTGAGATCAGTGATAACTGACCACCAGTCCTGCTCCAAAACTCATTCATACCTGAGGTACGCCAAGGTCCATTTCTTCAGAGCCGGCCAGTGGCTGATGGCATTCTGAATTATACAAGGTTTATTCGGACTCACCCATTCTCGATAAAATTCCAGCGGGGACAGAGGCCTATCAAGATAGGGTACAGACTCCATCCACCCCAGCTCTGTCCAGGCAAACGAGAAACAGTTTTACTCAGGGTCCCGACAGCAGCTCCCTCTGCTAGCACACTAACTGGCTTCAAACCCCACTACACTTGCTCAGCGGAAAGCAAGCGGTGTCCTCCTGGGCTCCAGAAACAGTTCCATTAAAACCCAGAGACTGTCAGGGAGGGTTTCTGTGACAAGC